CTAACTCAATTTTTGCTTCCATCACTTATAGCTTCGGCTTGCTCATTTGTAAAATGAAGATAACAATACCTACTGCTCAGAGTTGTCATAAGGGTGGAATTTAGTTAAATAATGTATATGAAGTACTTAGCACTTAATAAATGCTTAATAGTGATGGTTTGTTGCTATAATAAAAATAATAACATGAGAATATTATAATAGTGAAAGACTTATTGAGCATCTGTTCCTATTTCAGGTGTTGGTTAGGCGCTGGGAATATTGTGATAAATTTTACAGATATAGTCTCTTCCCTTGAATAGCTCACAGCATCATGGGTGAGAAAGATCTAGAAACAAATATAAGAGAGTGTTTTAAATATCAAAATGGTAGATTAGGGGATGGTATGGTCCATGGAATCCAAGCCTAGTTTTGCTTCTCATTTTGGCCTTGTCCTCATTCTGCATGTGTCGAGAGGTACTTCAGTATTATTGAACTTTGCTAGCAAGTTATCAAGGTCTCAGACATCCAGATTATCAGGGTCTCATTGGGAAAGAAGATTGGTGCCTGTCTTTCGTTTGTATTTTAAGGTGGGGGGTAGTTGAAAAACGAGCACAAAGTATCATTTCCTGCCTTCCCTTTCCCCCTCCAACCTAGTCAACCCATACTGAGGTTTTTTTCCTGGACAAATTAGATTAGCTTCCAATTGTAGGTTATAGCTTTTAAACATAATCACTGTTTAAACACGAAAGCAAATATTTTGGTAATGAGATTTCTTTTCTTCGTACACACAAGATTCAACAAAATGTATCCAGCTTAACAAATGGTTGTATTAAAGAAATTTTAAAAGAATTATATTGAGTCCCAGCAAGATAGAACAGTGACATGATGTCCTGATGCGTCAATCTGGAAGCGAAGCCTATGGATTAAGTAAGGAGAAACAAGACAGAGTTACTATGATGATAATCTGGAATGATATTTTATAACCACTTGTAATTATTAACAGGATCATTAATGCTACTTTGTGTCCTTAGAATCATGGCTAATAGTCGGTTCATCTGTCTTTTTTATATGATAGCTTCTAATCAAGTTCTCTCATAATATTTTGAGGAGTTTCAAAACTAATGTTTTCAAATAAATGCTGGGCTATTTCTGTAGATGTCTTTCAAATTTAATGAACTGCTCCCTTTTTACTTTTGTCTAAAATCACTATAATGTTATGTATTGAAATAATGGGGACCTACCCTGTGATTACCAGATTTGAGGGTTGATAAATCTGTACAAAGTTGAATTTATTTTTTTCTTAATTACTAAAGCAAGATGAATATAGATAAGCTTATTTAACACCTTGTATATTCTTCCATTTTAGATGCTTATACATACATGTAATTTTAATGTAACCATAGTATACATATTCTTTTATAATCTTTTTTTCACTTTTAGTGTTATCTTATATGTTTTAACACATTTTTAAGGAGCTACATAATATCCTTTACTATGGATATACCATTATTTATATAATGGAACAAGTAAAGGAACAAGTGTCTAATTTTTTTGCACTTTGTGATTATAGTCTATGTTGTGAGGAACATTCTTATAGCTAAATCTTTGTATATACTCTTAATTATTTCCTTTGTATACACTCTTAATTATATCCTTGGGTAAATTTCTAGAAATGTCATTGCTAGATGTTTTTAAGACTTGCATTGATTGTCAAGTTACCCTTCAGAAAGGTGTAACCAGTTTACACTCCCACCAGTGGTTTATGAATATACCTGTTTTCCTATACACTTAGTATTTGATATCCTTTCAGAGTTTTAAATTAGAAAATGTATGTAGTAGCATTGTAAAAAAGTAAGAAAATGGGGATTTTCACCTAGAATGCTATTTCCTTAACATGGCAGTGATTATAATATTTGTTACAGTATTCCAGGCCTTTAACACATGTGTAAGTGGTTGTACTTATATGTATAGTTTTGTTTTCTACTTTTTTCATTCATTGGTAAGTAGTTTTCCCTGCCTTTACTTGGCCTTCACAGTTCCAATATTCAGTGGCCAGATGATAGTGCAATAAATATTCATATTTACCTAACTCATCCCCTATTCCTGAACAACTAACTTGCTGCCAGTTTTTATTATGTATAATACCACAATCAAAACACAGAGATATCTACCATTTATTGACTATTTCTATGAAACAAACTTTATATTATGTATTTTTTTTCTCCGTTTGTATTATTTCCTTAGGGTTTATATCCAGGAATGGTAATATTGGATCATGAACATTTTTATGGCACAACATTTCTTCTTATGTCATTGTTTTCTTTCTTATTTCTTTCTATCTTAAAACATTTATTAGAAGCCTACAATGTGCCAGACACTGTGGTAAGAGGCACTGAGAATACAAAGATAAATCAGACAGAGTCCTTGGAGTCAGACTTTAAACATATATGATAAAGAGGGACATGATAAAAGGCATTCCCAGATGATGGTGCATCGATTTTTTGGTTGATTGGTCATCCTTCCTCCATCCATTCATCCATCCATCTATCCATCTATCCATTTATGCCCACATGATTTTCCCTCTGGAGCATGGGAGAACTAGTTGTAGACATGCCCGTTTACTCCTAAATATTTCAGTATAAGAATAAGGATTTTTTAAACCACAATACAATGACAAAATTCAAGGAATTTAATATGAATATCATACTACTGTGTAATCTGTTGTCCACATTAAAATTTAACCAATTGCCCAAATAATGTTCTTTATGGCAATTTTCCTTCTTTGATTCAGGATCTAATTGAAGATCCTGCATTGCCTTTAGTTATGTTGTCTCTTTGTCTCCTTTAATCAGCCATTCTTTGTCTTCCATAACATTGATATTTTTTGAAGAATATAGGTTGGTTATTTTGTTGTTGTTGTTGTTTTAAAGATTTTATTTATTAGAGAGAAAATGAGTGGGGGGAGGGGCAGAGGGAGAAGCAGACTCCCCGTTGAGCAGGGAGCCAGATGCAGGGCTCTATCTCAGGACCCTGGGATCATGACCTGAGCCGAAGGCAGGCACTTAACCAACTGAGCCACCCAGGTGCCCCAAGATTGGTTATTTTATAGACTGTCCTTCAGTTTGGGGCACCTGGGTGGCTCAGTCGGTTAAGTGTCTGACTCTTGATCTCAGCTCAGGTCTTGATCTCAAGGTTGTTAGTTCAAGCCCAGCATGGACCCTACTTAAAAAAAATAAAAGAAGAAGAAGAAAAAAAGAATGTCCTTCAATTTGAGTTTGTTTGAAGTTTCCTTTTGCTCAGATTCAGATCATGCATTTTTGTCAGGAATACCATGTAAGTGATGAGGTATTCTTTGCACATCATACCATATCAGGAGGCATGTGATGTCAGTTTGTCCCACTATTGCTGAGGTTGATTTTAATTCTTTGGTTAGGGTGGAGGCTGCTATGTGTAGTTTTCTACCATAAAGTGACCTTTTTTTGCTTTTGTAATTAATAAGTAATCTGTGGGGAGATATTTTGAAACTATGTAAATTTTACCCACTAGTTATATCATCCATTGATGATTTTCTGATTTCATCATTCCTTATATTTATTAGTTGGCTTTGTGCTATAAAAACTTTATTTATTTGTTTGTATCAGTATGAACTCATGTATTCTAATTTTATTGAATAGGTTATATTCTGTTACTATCATTATTTATCTTGATGCCCAAATTGTGCCATATTTGGGCAGTAGGAACCCCTTCGAGCTGGCTTCTGTATATTTTTGGTATGTTCCCATTATTCTTTGAGCAATTCTTTTTGGCATAACAAGATGATCCAGCCTCATCTTGTACTTTCTTTGCTCCAATGTTGGAATCAGTCATTTCTCCAGGAAACCTTCATCCCTTATAGTTTAGAAAACAAGATAAGAGCTAAATAAAGTATATGTTTTTTTAAAGAGTACCCAAAGCAGTTTTGATAGTTTGTCTGGAACCTATTGTAATAGATGCTTCTTGTAGGAGTTCTGTCCGTAGAATGGACAAGACTGAGGAGGAGTTGAAATAGTCCAGGAAGATGAAAGAACATAAGTAGAGTCACAGTATATGGAAGAGCCCAACTCATTGAGAGGAGCTACAGTTCAGTGTGGCTTCAAGTGGAGGACTCTGAGAATGAGGCAGGGACCAGTTCATTGAGGACTTTGCCACCCAAGGAGCTTAATCTGCTTTGTTTTTTATTGTTATGTTAATCACCATACATTACATCCTTAGTTTTTGATGTAGTGTTCCATGATTCGTTGTTTGTGCATAACACCCAGTGCTCCATGCAGAATGTGCCCTCTTTAATACCCATCACCAGGCTAACCCATCCCCCCACCCCCCTCCCCTCTAGAACCCTCAGTTTGTTTTTCAGAGTCCATTGTCTCTCATGGTTCGTCTAGAGATGAGGACCCATCATAGAGGTTTAAACTGGGTAGGGAAGAGATCAGTTTTGGTAGATTTGCATTTTAAGGACACTGTGCTGTCACCAGTGGCAATATGTAGGATGGATTAGATAAATGTTTAAAATTGTTTTCCAACATAGTTGGCGTTTTCTTTCTTGGAGGGCCAGTATTGCAGCTGCTGATATTAATGCCTCAAAGGGATAGTTGTCAGTAGTTTAGTGTAAAGAGAGCAAGAAAGAGCCAGAGCACACAAGTTAAAGCCTGAGTCATATATTTATCTGTTTGTGAAATGGCGGCAACTCTCCCTTTTAGTACCAGTTTTACAATCAGACTGGAAGCTGAATGTCAGTGTTTTCCATTGAAAAATAACACAAACAAAAGTAATGAAAAATATTGATGAATATGAATACTGCTACATTTTATTTTTCTTTATCTTTGGTAGTAACGTCAAATATTCAATAACGTAGACATTCTACCTAGTTTGTGAGGTAACCAAAATATGAAATATAACAACCATGTGTTTTGAAATAATAGCAGATTGCAGTTTTAGCTTGAAGTTTGTTGTTATAACAAGTTTTATTTCTGTGCTATTTACAGCCTGTATCCCAGGCAGTTGGAATTGAACAAGCAACTCTTCTAAAACCGGATTTAGTTAGAAGGTGAGTATCTTCAAGTTCATACCATCAAAACAGAGTATTTTGAAGTATTTGCACTCAATAGGTGCTTAGTGAATCTTGATTAGAGAAGCTTCTGTGTTCTTGTATTTATGTGTATATTCAATAAAATAGTAAGTATTATTTTTACCTTTTTATGTTAATAATGATCATATGGAATGTTAAATTATTGACTGTTTTCTTTTTCTCATTATTATAATACTCTACTCTTAAGAAAAGCTTATAAGGGTTAAAAAAGGAAAGAAGGAATAGTGTAATTTAGAGTAAAAGTCCTGCTAATCTTAAAGAAATGAAGTATAACCAGGTATTATTTGGTAGTTGGAAATTAATATTTTTCTCTGTGTTGTTCAGATTGGATAATTTTTATTGTTCTCTCTTCACGTTTACTGATTCTTTCCTTTGTCCTATTCATTCTGCTATTGTGCCCATTTGATGAGTTTATTTCTATGATTGTACTTTTTTTCCAGTTTTATTGAGAAATAGTGGACATACATCATTGTATAAGTTTAAGGTATACATCATGATGGTTTAATTTACATATACATTGTGAAATGATTACCACAATAGATTCAACTAACATCCATCTTCTCATCTAAATATAATAAAAAGAAAAGAAAAAAAAGAAGGAAAAAAGCTCTCTTTGTGGTGAGAACTCACAGGATGTCCTTTCTTAACAACTTTCCTATATCTCACACAGCAGTGTTAACTATAGTCATTGTGTTGTATATTGTATCCCTAGTACTTATTTGTCTTATAACTGGAAGTTTGTACTTTTTAACCATCTTCCAGTTTTCCCTCCCCCCACCCTCTGCCTCTCGTAACCACAAGTCTTATCTCTTTTTCTATGAATATGTGTGGGTTCTTTTTTTAATTTTGGGTTTTTTTTTTAGATTCCACTTATGAGATTATACAGTATTTGTCTTTCTGTCTGACTTATTTCACTTAGCATAATGCCCTCAAAGTCCATTGATGATATTGCAAATGGTAGGATTTCCCCTTCTTATGGCCAAATAATAGTTGTGTGTATGTGTGTACATGTGCACACACCACAATTTCTTTATCCATTCATCCATCCATGGACAGACAGGTTGTTTCCATGTTCCATGTCCTGCTATTGTAAAGAATGCTGCTATGAACACAGGAGTGGAGATATCTTTTTGAGTTAGTGTTTTTGTTTTTTGGGGATATATTCCTGGAAGTCAAATTGCTGAATCATATGGTAGTTCTATTTCTAATTTTTTAATGATCTTCCATACCGTTTTCCAGAGTGGCTGCACCAATTTACAGTCCCACTAACTACACAATAGTTCTCTTTTCTCCACATCTTTGCCAGCATTTGTTATCTTGTCTTTTTTATAATGGCTGTTCTAATAGGTGTGAGGCAATATTTCTAGAGCTCAGTTTGCCCATACCCATTTCTTGAGACAGAGGCACCTGGATGGGTCAATTGGTTAAGTGTCTGCCTTCGGCTCAGGTCATGATCTCAGGGTCCTGGGATCGAGTCCTGTGTCGTGCTCCCTGCTCATTGAGGAGCCTGCTTCTCCTTCTCCCTCTGCCCCTCCCCCCGGCTTGTGTGCATACACTCTCTCTCTCTCATGCTCTCTCACTCTCGCACTCTCTTGCTCTCAAATAAAAAATAACAAAATCTTTAAAAATAAAAAAAAATTCTTGAGACAAAATGGAAACACAACATATCAGAACTTGTGGGATGCAGCAAAAGCACTCCTGGAAGGGAAGTTCATAGCAATAAATGTCTGCATTAAGAAGCAAGAAAGATCCCAAATAAGCAACTTAACTCTACACATTAAGGAATTAGAAAAAGAACAAACTGAGCCCAAAGTTAGCAGAAGAAATAATGATTAGAGTAGAAAGAAATGAAATAGAGAACAGAGAAACAATAGAACAGATTAACCAAACTAAGAGTCGGTTCTTTGAACAGATAAACAAAATTAACAAACCGTTAGCTAGACTAAGCAAGGACAGAAGAGTAAGGACCCAAATCAACAAAATTATAAATGAAAAGGGAGGGATTACAACTGATAACACAGATATTCAAAGGATCCTAAGAGGCTATGATGAACAACGAAATGCCAACAAACTATACAACCTAGAAATGGATAAATGCTTAGAAACATACAATTTACCAAGACTGAATCAGGAAGAAATAGAAAATCTGAACAGACCAATTACTATTAAGGAGATTGAATCAGTAATCAAAACTTTCCCAACAAATAAAAGCCCAGGACCAGATGGCTTCGCTGGTGACTTTTACCAAATACTTAAGGAATAATTAACATTAATCCTTCTCAAACTCATAGTAGTGAAGAGGAGGGAACCTTCCCAAACTCATTTTACCAGGCTGGCATTATCCTGATACCAAAACCAGAAAAGGATACTACTAGAAAAGAAAATGACAGGCCTATTCCCTGATGAATATAGATGCAAAAAACCTCAATAATATACTAGCAAACTGAGTTCAAAAGCACATTAAAAGGATCATACATTATAATCAAGTAGGATTTATCCCAGGGATGCAAGGATGGTTCAATATATACAAATTAATCAATGATTTGATTGAAAGAAGTGAATCATCTGATCATATTAGTAGAATGAAATAAAAGAATCATGCGATCATCTCAGTAGATGCAGAAAATGCATTGACATAATTAAACATTCATGGTAAAAACTCTTAAGAAATTAGACATAGAAGGAACATATCTCAATATAATAAAGGCCATGTATGATAAATCCACATCTAACATCTTACTCAATGATGAAAGGTTGAAAGCTTTTCCTCTAATATCAGGAACACTCTCACCACTCTTAATTCAACATAATATTAAAAATCCTAGGTAGAGCAATCAGGCAAGAAAAGAGATAAAAGGTATTAATCCCATTTACAGTAGTATCCCAAACAACAAAATACTTAAAGAATAAGTAAAGAAGGGAAAGATTTCTACTCTGAAAACTACAAGACATGGGTGAAAGAAATCAAAGAAAACACAAATAAATGAATAGGTATTCCGTGTTCATGGCTCAGAAGAGTTAATGATAAAATGTCAGTACTACTGAAAGCTATCTATAGATTCAATGCAATCCCTATCAAGAGTCCAGTGCCATTTATCACAGAGCTAGAAGAAGCACTCCTAAAATGTATATGGAACCACAAAAGACCCAAATCCTGAGAAAGAAAAACAAAGCAGGAGACATCACACTTCCTGATTTCAAGCTATATTATAAAGTTATAGTCATCGAAACAGTATCATACTGGCATAAAAACAGACAGATAGACCAGTGGAGCACAATCAAGAGCCCAGAAAAAAACCCAAGCATATACAAGTCAACTAATATTTCACAAGGGAGCCAAGAATACTCAATGGAGAAAAGACAGTCTTTTCAATAAATGGGGCTGGGGTAATTGGATATTCCCATGTAGAAGAATGAAACTGGATCCATATCTTACACCACTCACAAAAGTTAACTTGAAATGGATTAGAGACCTAAATGTAAGACCTGAAACCATGAAACTCCTAGAAGAAAACACAGGAATAAAGCTCCTAGACATGGGTCTTGGTAATGATTTCTTGGCTATGACACCTAAAACACAAGTAACAGAATAAAAAATAAACAAGTGGGACTACATCAAACTAAAAGACTTCTGCACAACAAAAGAAACCATTAGCAGAGTGAAAAGAAAACCTATGGAATGGGAAAAATATTTGCAGACTATATATCTGATAATGGGTTAATATCCAAAATATATAATGAACTCCTATAACTCAATAGCAAGAAAACAAATAACCCAATTAACAAATGGGCAAAAGACCCAAATAGACACTTCTCCAAAGAAGATGTACAAAAGGTCAACAGGTATGTAAAAAGATGTTCAACATCACTAGTCATTAGGCTAATGCACATAAAATGACAATGATATCTTACTAGTCAGAATATGTCCCCAACTTGATTCTGCAGACGAGCAAAACCACTCATTGGGATTACTATTTGGGTACTGCAGGTATGAATTTGGTCGGCCATGATCCGTGTGTTGGCCTGCTGCAAGCCTTTCCCTCCTTCCCTGTCATACACGTATTCCCAGTGGTTGAGCCCTGCAGATTCTCCTGCTATGCCTGTGGTGTGAAATCAAAATAGGGGCCCCCACAATGCTGAGCAAGGGCTGGTTGTCCCCCCAGGTTCTCTTTTCTCACTGGAGGTACTGGAGGCTCGGGTACTATGCTGGCGTGGGGTAGGGGCAATGTGACCGATGTATAGCCACTTCTCTTACACTTTTTTTTTTAGAGGGGGGAGAGAGAGAGTGAGCATGAACAGGAGGTAGGGTCAAAGGGAGAGGGAGAGAAAATCTTAAGCAGGCTCCACGCCCAGCACAGAGCCCAACTCGGGGCTTGATCTCACAACCCTGAGATCATGACCTGAGCTGAAATCAAGAGTCAGATGCTTAACCAACTGAGCCACCCAGGTGTCCCTTCTCTTACCCTTCTAATCCAATCTGACTTGGTCTCTGTGGTGCAGAGGGGTGCTTCAGCCACACCCCCATGTTCTAGGAATCTTTCAGTGGTGTCTTGTTCTTGAATAGTTATTAGTTGTTCTTGTGAGCAAAGTCAGAAACAACCTATGTTGCCATCTTGGTGATGTCACTTCCTGGGATTGTGCTTTATTTTTATAATTTCCATTAATTCTCTTTTAATATCTCTATTTTTCTATGAGATTTTCTGTTTTTGCATTTGCTTCAAGAATATTTGTAATTGCTCATTGAAGCATTTTGATGATGGCTGCTTTAAAATCCTTATCAGATAGGGACACCTGGGTAGCTAGTCAATTAACCATCTGCCTTTGGCTTAGGTCATGATCCCAGGGTCCTGGGGTCGAGTCCTGCATCAGGCTCCTTGCTCAGTGGGGAGCCTGCTTCTCCCTCTGCCTGCCGCTCCCCCTGCTTGTGCTCACTCTCTCTCTCTCTCTCTCTCTGACAA